AATATATATCGATAAGCATCTAACTACTTGTCGGTTGTTTCGCGTGTTGCTGTCGCCCACTCCCCTCCCCCCTTTCATCACGTGACATTCGAGTTCGAACGATGGCCGCGAATCGGCGATGTCGCGACATGCTTGTTGCACTGTGGTGTTTCGTTTTCTCTTAATGGGACGTTTCTATTTGTAAGAGTTGAAAAAACTGAATTCTTTCGCAACGGTAGTTTTTTTTATGAAGTTCAGTTGCAAATCACCATGTCTCTATGGAATAATTTTTATCGATCGTAGATGATATTTCTGTTACCAGGAAACGGGTGCTCTGGCGTGGCAGCCATATCGAGAAGCAGTAATCCCGAAAATAATTCAAGTGTCAACATATCTAACATAACTAGAAAAATAAAAATTTATTTCTCTTACAATTCATAACTTCCGTGGTCGTGTCTTATTTTTTCCTCGTAACCTTAGTCAACAAACGGATCTCTCTTCTGTCTTGATATGATTACACGTTGCTTCCCATCGATTGCGTTCTCGACATACAAATAACAAGTGTGTTTAAAAATAATATGAATCGGTATGACTTAATTTCGAATAGTTGAATATTTTAAAAGTATGCCAAACAATAATTTTTTATGTGAAATATTATCGGAACGCCTGAGTGTTTTCAAAGGATCTGACCGAGTAAAATTCAATTTTTTCAACCCTTTACATTCGGGAAACTCTCTCTCGGATTACGACGTTACATCACTCTCGTTTTGTGTTTTTCTTTTCTTCGTCGATTCTTATTTCCGCCTTTCGCAATACTGAGTAGACTGCGGATTTTATGCGACTCGCAGTGATTTCCAAATGAAATGAGTCCAACCCTATTAAGAACAACATTTTCAGTTTATTTTCAATCCTGTCAAACTTCTCATAGAGGAGCTAAACGGCCATTCAATATTCGGGTAACGATTTCGGTTCGCATAAGTATCCGCAGTCTGCCACTGAGATACACATTCGAATGAATTCTCAGGTCGCTTATTATTTATTTTTTTTTTAAAGTTGCATTTCTTTCGTTTAACTGCCATTGGATGCGATCGATCGATCGATTCGAGAGTGCGACACGAGATCCGGCCGCGTACACTAATTAACTAGAAACAAATTTTACATTATACAACATGCATAAAATCTTGGAAAAAAAAAAAGAACATATAAGTATACGATAACAATACGTAAAACAATACGTCCATTGAACGTCGACGTGATTCGATAACACGGATTTTGTGTTCGACGTAAAAAAAAAAACGAAAATGGAAACGGTTCCTAATCGTAAGAAACTCTCGCTCAATCGATTCGATATCGAAGTGGATCATCGAAGTAGATTATAATGAAAATAGTACGGACAAATATTGTCGGGCCTCGAATACGAATAACGTAGATAATTTTTGTCTTGTTTGGTTGGACGAATACTCTCATCTAATTACAAAGAAAATAGAGAAGAAAAGAAAAAAGAATAAACAAAAAATTGTTCGTAGCGAATCTGTCATTGACAAGGCCTCCTACAAAAATTAATTTCCTCGTATGTGTGTGTGTGTATCTACAAATATACATATATATGTATGTACGTGTATATACATATATAGTGTTTAACGTATTATATACGATATAATAGTATATATATATAAGCTCTTCTCAAGAATCCGCGGAGTCAATGGTCGAGAAACCGATCAGACCGATAAAAATCAATATATATATATATCCGTAAACAATTGATAACAAGCGTACATTTGTAAAAAATGAAAAGGCTCCTCTCTAAACCGGGAAAACGTACTCTCTCAAGTGTCGATTAGTTTTCTTTTTCTCTCTTTTCATTACGTCGCAAAAAGTGCTAAAAAACATATATATGTATATGTATTAATTATACACGATTATTGTCACTGAGCGTTGCAACGAGCAGAATCGCTTATCTAAACGCATCAACAGTATGTAAAATATTTAGTCGCGTGTATTCACAGTGAATCACAGATTTATTCTAAGGCTAAGGTTCGTAGATTCGGATTCCATCAATTTCTTTCGTTCCTACATTTGACAAGAGAACCGAACAAATCAGGCGGCGATTTCCGATTTTTTTTTTAAAGAAGGGAAAACTGAACATAACTTAGAAAATAGGACAGACACCATCGAATTTCATTCAACAAATCTGTGAATCACTTTACATCGGTGAAAGGCGGTTGCGAGTGGGCTTCGCTCACCACTTTTTCCTTAGCAATCAGGTACACTACCGGTCAAATAGTAATGTGGAGCTTAAACTTATCAATGAAAAAAGAAAAAAGTTCATAGAGACTCATTTAGAATGGTACATGAAAGATACTGTTCACCTTTTACGAACTAATGACTAAAAATTAGGCAAAGTAACGAAGCAATGGATGGAAACACTTTCCATTACAACTTATACAACTGTACAGTTGTACAAAGTTCAAGCACTGGGACAAATTGTTCTTATAAAATGATAATTAATAGGCACGTAGAATGATTAATGGTGCACAAATAGCCTAAGAAACGTGATTTTGTTTTTTGTTTCAACGATAATACTTTACGTTATACGTGGAATAAAACAGTGTGCAGTTTCTCAGTCGCTCCCCATACTTTTGGCCGTTAGTATACGTGCGATTTTCCTGGAGGACAAGAGGAAGCGCAGCTACGGATAGAGATACACAATTCGCCGATGTCTAAAAGTAGCCCCTCTTGGGTGCGCAGTTTCTGCGAATTCCGCGTGAACCTTATAATGATCGTCGTGGCACCTTCACAACAATGGAGGTGAGAATGCTTCGAGAAAAAAAGAAAGAGAAAGGGACAAAAAAGTAGCATTCTTTTTCTAAAAAAAAAAAACAAAGAATTCGAACAGTTCTCTCGCGATTCGTTTTTTTTCCCCCCCCCCCCCCTGTGAATTCTTACAACACTACGAAATTAGCGAAAACAAAATCATTGTACAACGATACCTCTCGAATATCGCAAGGAAATCGGTGGTGGTACCGATTCCTTTATAACATATTTACAAAATAAAATGATCGTCTATATAATATAGTATATCATTTCATATGTCCATTGTTCGATGAGCCATCGACTCTATTCGATGTCGCGACAGAGAAACAGATAACAATGAGACGCGTCGCGACGCTTTCCCCGCACCTCGAGCTTTTTTTCCCTCGCCTACGAGCGATCCTCGAATGGCGTAACCAGAATCGAGCGCCGAAATCAAACGTACAGAAGAGATTAAAATGTTATGTATGAGAGAGAAAGAGAGAGAGAGAGAGAGAGAGAGAGAGAGAGAGAGAGAGAGAGACAAAAGGAGCACTTGATCTACCCTTACGAATAAAAACAACTAGAATCACTTGTGTACCATCACCACGTGGGATACGCTACAGTAATTAAACACGTTCCTTAGAGAACTAGGGACCTAGTCCGTGCGCAGAAAAGCGTCGTTCTTCCAAGTATCCTTCGTTCGTAGTCATTTTTTGTTCACTTCTCAATTAGCCGCGCGATTCGGATGCTCCACCCTCCTTCGTCTTCCTCCAGTGTTTCATCTGTCCCCGAATATTTGGAATTTTCGTTTCAATGAGTAAAAAGACCCCATCCGACTGGGTGCAATTGACCTAACAGTGATAAGAATTCGACTAGAATGGCTCAAAATAAAACCCTGGACGCTTTAAAGGGCGCCTGTAGATCGTAGGACTCTGATACAGTAACAGTTAGTTACTGTACTTAATTGAAGTTTTCGACATCTGTTCTGAACACACTTGTTTCCGATAGGTCGTCCAAAGTGTCACTGTGCTTAATTCAATTTTTGGACGTCTGTTCTGAGCATACTTGTTCTGTATAGGTCGTCCAAAGTGTCTCCTGTCAGAATATCTTAGATAACCTCTACGAAGACTGTTCCAGAGATCATCTGTGAATTAGGTCATGCTAAATAAGATTCTGTGTGTACAGGGGATCTCAGAGTTTCGTATAGGTGTATCGAAGGTATCCTGTGTACAGGTGATCCCACGGTTACCCAATAGAAGGTTACATATTGGAGATCAAGGGAACCGAATGACTTCTATGGATCATCGGAATCGAACCCTTTTGGTACAGATGAATTCCGTGGATCCACTGTATTCACCCTAAAGATCTTCTGATCTTTTCACTGTGATCACACATCAATCTGATACTGTATTCACCCTAAAGATCTGATCCTACAGAGATCCCTTGCACGGTACAGGTGTTTCTTGGACCTAATCTAGAATCCCCGCGGATCCACGAGTCGAAATGTCGCCACCGGATGAAGATGGAGGAAGGCCGAGGAAGCAGCGAGGAAACGTTAGACCAAGAATCTATCCACGATCAGATGCGAGGCCGCTATTAAAACAAGAAACAAACAGAAGCTCTCGAGAGCCAGCGCGTAGGTTAGGCGACCGTTCCAGGGGGTGTTGCGCGGCAGTTGCTTCTCTCGTGGCGCTCGCCTGTCTGTGTCTTATTTTTCATACACCATATTTCGCTTATTACTCTAATCAGCTCCAGCCCGGTTCACAAGGCGTTTAGTCGTGTGCGTGCCAGGGTTCGTGGGATACAGTCAAGAGAGTTTTTTTCAGGGATGTGTGTATGTGTGTCTCTCTCCCTAAATGTCCCTTGTCCCCTCAGCTTACCTCGGTTTAGAATCTCCTTATCGAATATGAATCACAATGAAAAAAAAGCTCCCTCGATGGTCTCTCGCGAAGAGCACCGGGGCACCCAGTGGACATTGACACTACTGGCACGCACACACTCACATTTGCGTTTGTCGCTACGCGTCCGTACGTGTATAATATATGTGTACAATATGTATGGTACGTGTGATTATATACGTATACGTGGTTTCTTCTTACATATACATATATAATTACGGGTATATACGGTTTGAACGAGTTACCAATCGGATGCGTATGTGTGTGTATGGTATATACTCGCGTATTCCTTTACACAGACGGCGCTACACGTGCAAATGGTTGCAGGTGTACAGGGGGCGCTGTACCACGCGCGTACAGACTCACACACACTTACAGACAGCTGGGAGTGCACACATACACACGGGGCCGTGTATGTATATGCGTGTATACATATATATAATCTAACTATACATATAATCTATGTACACTTTTTTGTTGTTGAGGGGATTGGTGGGCGAGGACGGGGATTAAGGAGCACTTCTCCTTGGAAGGGAGCACAGGGGGTTAGGGGTTCAAGAAGGACGTGTCTGCGCGTGTGTGTGTGTATCGTTTGTGTGTGTATATGTGAGATAGAGAGAGAGAGAATCGATGAATAGCAGAACTTCTCGAAGGACAATCTTCGGGATCCTCTAGGAAAAGTTGGGGCTCTGGTTGCAATTTGTCGGAGGATGGTCTCGCAATTCGGCGCGCTCCGTTCCCTTTTCCCTTTCTGTCGTTTAGCTCCTGTTTTTTTTCTTTTCTTTCTTCCGGACTGGCGATATACCCTAAGTGCTGCGACTATAAGTGCGGGATGAGCTGGCGTAACAAACGCTCGTGGTGTCCGCGTCCATTTCAGCGGGCCCGGCACGAGCCGTTGCTTTGCTCGCTCGACGCCGCCTGTTAGACCTCCGTGTATTTGCTCAGTTCGTCGCGTAGCAGCATGTTCTCGTTCTTTAACCGGTCCAGTTCCTGCCGTAGGCCCATGTTCTGGAATGGAAAAAAAAAGAGGGGGTCAGTTCTTTCGTCCCCCGTCATCCGTAAAGTAATTTTGCGCTCCAGCCTTCCATCTTCTAGTAGATGTACACCTTTCTCTCCTATTTTTTAGGTCTCTATCTCCTATTTCTTAATTTCCTGTTTTCTAGATCTCCATCTCCCATTTTCTAGCCCTTTACTCCTAGTCTCTGAACCTTTATCTCCTATTTTCTAGACCTCTATTTCCCATGTTCCAAATCCCTTCTGGATAGTAGGCCAACTAACTTTGGGATTTTCAAACATCCAGGCCTGTATCACTTATTTACTAATCTTCTATTTTGTGCCTCTATCTCCTACTTCCTGGACCTTTACTTCCCATTTTTTAATCCCCTATTTGTAAGGTAACTAGTATTTATTTCCTAATTTCCAATATTCTAGCCCTCTATCTCCTACTTTCTAGACCTTTATCTTGTATTTTCTAGACTTCCATCTCTTGTTTTCTAATCCCCTATTTTCTAAATTCCAATCTTCCATGTCTATATCTCCTCTTTTTTGGACCAGTATCAACTACTTTTTAGACCAACAAGTACAACAAGAAGGAAGATTGAAAATCCGAGTTTCAAAGACGGCTGACAATTGATTGTACTCTATTTTTCACGGAAAACACTGAAATGTCCGGCGGTATCGCCTTTGCGCTAGTTCATTTAATATAATAGGCGTGGGAAGATTTACTTCTTTCTCGAGGAAGCCGGCCCTGAGCGCGATCTGGTTCTCCTTCATGCGGCGCGCGTCCCGCGATCGTTTCGCTGCCATATTATTCTTCCTACGACGCGCCCAGTATTTGTCATCCTTCAGGTCATCCGGAACGAACTGGTGGTCACAAGCGGCAGACCACAGGGAACAAAAGAGGATTCGATTAGAAAATCGAGGCTATAAATAGCTTCGTGTAAGCACGGATAAATCGATACCATTAAGGTTTCGATACTTTTACTCGTAACTTGTATCGAGAAAAAAGTATCGATACCTACTTGTATCGAAGGAAAATGTGCAAAGTTCTTTTTTATTAATATAATATATTTCAACCAGACTTGAGCAGAATTTCATACGAGGTTTATGTACTTGGATTTCTAATTTTATATAACTAAAAAAAAATCGAAAGAAGAACAATTCCATTTTGCATGAAGATCCGCAGTTTGTGTATCACTTAGACTTAGACTATAAGTAAAATAACCTATCACATCAGACATATCTTGCCCGTATTTAACAGAATAATAACTCGAAAACGAAACCTCGAACGTAATTTTTCATTCTAGATTTTCATCTTAGTTTGCCATGTAGTATCTATCCTGTGTGAAAGTGTCCCACAATTTTTGTTAACTTTCTGTACAGGATTCCTTTTGTTCATTTCCCCGTATTTTATGCTGATTCAAACGATGATTGAGAGAACTCGACTCACCTGCTTCCGTGATTTCTTGATCATCGGTTGGGGTTTGAGCTCCTCATCGGAGAAGGCCCGGGTGCGCGGATCGAAGTCTCGGCCCGATGAGGCCATCGAGAGCGCTACAAGAGACAAGACATATTGTATTCGTGACAAGTCCACGGTATCTGTCGCGCGAAGAGGCAACTCGACGTTAGTTTTAGCTCCGGATACATCTGGGAATACTAAGAGTAAGTACAGTAAATTCTAGATGAGTGTTCGAAGGCTCCTAGGCATTGAGCATTAAATATTTCATAAACTAATGGGTCATATGTGGCAGTAACAAATACCATTGGCCTTGAAATTCTAAAAAGTCAGCAAACTTCTCCTTGTCAGTCCCGAGGAGCCTCCGAACACTCATCGAGGATTCATTGTATTGTGCTACCTCAGATAGTAAACACAGCTCGCATAAACGAATTAAATGTAAATATTGCTGATCTAATACTACATTGTGTCACAGTAATCACGAGTCCCCGTTACTGTTTCCTTCGTCTTCCGTATTTTTTACATAACTTTCTTTTAATAAATTTTCAAACGAAGCACCGAATGCAGGGTTAAGATTTGGGACACCCTGTATATACAGTATGTTCGGTTTAAGTGAAAACTGTTAAATATCTCTTAAGCGAGTAAAGGTATGAGCGAAATTGTTGTGTGAGAATTCCCCTGGCAACACTGGGCGTGGCATATTGCGGGGGAAGGCGTGTCTTCCTGCCCGGGAGGGCGTGGCTTACTGCCCGCCGATTTGTATTCGCTCGGGCAGCCCGAATCGTTGCTCGTTCAGGCAACTGGTGAACAGCACTGACTCAAAACGGAGTATATTACGCACCGAAGACGGTCTACTCACTCGAGTCCGCGGGCGAGGGGGGGTTCATGGTATCTGGCGAGCAACACTCGCTCGGCGACGGTGATCTCTCGCGTTTGGTGACTGGTTCGAGGTGGACACCCGCGGGTCCCTGATGACCCGGCGCCTCGGTGTTGTTGATCTTGTGCAGCTGCCCGCTCTGTGTGGTGCCCTGACCGCCGCTGCCGGCCACACCGTCCGCCGGGATCCCATTTTCGGAGAGGAACTCGTCGAGATCCACGTACTGGAAAATAAAGGGCAATCGTGCGTTCGCGTTTACAAGGGCTGTCGAATCGTTACCGGTATCCTTCGAGTATACGCAGACATCGTTGAAAATATTTCTTGTACAGGGTGTTCAGAAAAATATCGAACAATTTGCCACAGGATAGATTCTAGATGACAAACTATGATGGAAATACTGTTCGAGGCTTTCGCTTCTGAGTTATTCATTGTCTAGAATACGAGCATATTTCTAATCAAACTCTTCACAAAGATTTTACAGTACCATTCATAAAGGATGTAATTGAACCATATGCTCTGAAACACAGGCCACGATAATTTCTTGATTACAGAATTAACAAATCAGTTTATATTTTAAATTTAAAATAACAAATTTTTAAACTAAAATTTATCACGGGAATTTTTAAACTCTCCATTGAGGTACATATGTCCCATGGAACGGGCAATTATCGAGCGCGAATATCACGTGGAATCTCCTTCGCAATTATTGAGTACAGAAGGCAACAGAGAGTGGGGTGCGTGTATACATAACTAGTACGAGCAAGGGGCATTCCTAACGAGCATTTATCCAGCGCGCAGTTATGGCGACTTTACTGTACGGGTCCCGAATACGCATCCAGCATAACCGTAGCCTTATGTAGATTTGTTTTAAACAAAAATAAGAACTAGTATGTGCATATATATATAGTACCCTGATTATATATATGACACCCTGTATATCACAAGAGTCTTATAACCAGTGGAACAAAAATTACACGGACCAACAGTTGATTCTCCAAGGGTAAAGAAGCAAAAATCGGGAGAAGGTGGGCGTGCAGATAAGGGAGTCTCATCGACGAATCGTCGGTTTTAGGAAGCCAACAAAAAAGGAAAAAATGTCAATTTTCACCACGAGGTGGTTTCGAACCACCGGGGTTCCTTTTTTTTTGTGGGGGAGGGATCTTTCGTGTTCAGCCGAATTGGCGGGCTTACCGTGTTCGCGTTTTTTTGTACATACATGGTTCAATACCTTCAGGTCGGCATCATAGGGCAGAGTTTTGTCCCATAGGTTCGGGCCGAGGAAGGCGGCCTGCGCTTCCACGTTGCCCCATAACTCTCCGTCTGCGTCTTTCTTCTCTTCTTTCCCTGGAAACAGACAGATTCCTTTCGTTCTTTACACGGAACAAATAGACACAGTGATGTTTTAAATTACCAATTAGAATTACAATTAGAATTACAATACTGGAAATATCAACTGTATCGCTTGGATATTAACAGGTCGTTAATCATGCTAAGCGGATCACTTTATACATAATGTCTGGAATTTTGTTCAAATTGAAATATGTTATAGTCACTGTGAAAATAGGGGGGGGTTTAATGCCTAAACAACACTGTTGATTGCTCGACGATTAAACGTAACGATTTCTGGGAGAGAGAGGGGGGGGGGAGGAGAGAAAGAAACGCGGAAGGAACGTGGACGCAACCGATGGAAAGAAAGAGTCGAGGACGATGGGCGAGTCGGTGGCGGCGGTGGTTCAGGGGATCCACTATTTTTGGAGGAGCATCTCCAAGGCCGAGACGACGAAGTAGCGCGCGGAGCTAATCTCTTTCTTTTCTTCCACGAAGCAATTTCCGACCTGGCCACGCGGCGCTGGACCGAGGAAAAGGTGTACAAGGCGGGGGTGAGGGTGGAGGGAGGGGTGAGTACAGCGTCATCGTGGTATACGAAACCTGAATAAAAACTAAAGATCATGGTTTGAACGTGTATTAAAAATACACGTGTATTTCGCGTACACGTACGCCAGTAGGGTAGACCGAGGCGAATCGGATCATTCTCTATTTGATAGTAAAAAAATAATAATTACAGTTTAGAAAGCTTTTAGAAGCTATGTATTGTAAAATCGTAAATAATATAATTTAACTTGAACATTAATAATAAAAAAAGTGAAAAAAAAACTTAAAAATCTTTCTTTTGCAAACGAAAAACGAAAAAGTGAGGAATATCCGATTCACCTCTAAAGTTAAGGCGAATCGGATAATCCAAAAATCTCTGAAAAAACTGAAATTTTCATAATAAATGTGTTGAAATTAATTTAAAAAAATATAATTTAATGATACAGGGGTCAATTGTCCTCCCTTGTCATTGTCGAGGAGTCTTCGAGCACTCATCGAGGATTTACTGTATTCTTCTGAAACATGCTTCTTTTTCACGAATCGTTCCTCAGGAAAGTAATGTCAGAGAAGTTGGTCAGAAAGATGGAGAACGGAAGTTTCGAGTGGACAGAATAGAAAGAAACGATCGTAGAGAGAAAGTTAGCTGTTTTAGGGGGAAGGGGGGAACATGGGAGGTCTCGCGAGAGCAATTTGGACACCGAAGGAGGGTCCGAACGGCGCTCCGAGTCGCGATGAAAAGCGACGGGGGACCACGACGACAACGACGGACGTTTTAAATGCCTAATAACCATACACGGAATAGGCGCAGCGAACCGGGTTTCTCCGTTGCACGCCAGCTAAACAACTAAACAACGGACAGCTCGCAATTTGGTTCAAGGCTGCTACTGCTGCTGCTCGTCGCCAGCTCTGCGGAACTAATCTCGCGTTGCGTGGCGGCTAGAAACACGGGGCGAGGGGACGACGGCGGTATGGGAAGAGAAGAGGAAGGAGGCGAGAGATGACTGTGGAGAAGCTGATCGTCGAGTAGGAAACGAAGCGGAAAGATAGAGAGAGAAGGAAACTGAGAGCGCTAGGAAAAATCGGAATGAAATCAGAATATCTATTAGAGAAAAAACAGATTGAAAGCATTGAGGACTTGCAGAAAGGGGGTAGCTTCATAATTTTCTAAAATGTAATTATAGGTAGCGTTGAATAGGGAAAAAATTGTGAATAGACCGGGTGCACAAAGTAGGTAGTTAACCTTCAAATATCAGACGTTTTTGATGATCGAATAGACTGCTGTAGCTAGATCCAATTGCACCCCTGTTCTTAAAGTTGTCAGTACCCAGGAGCCTTCAAACGCTCATCGAGGATTTACTGTATTGGTATTTTTTAATCTACTTACTAATACTATCATATGAGCCGTTTTTTTTAAAGTGGTATAATTCCATTCGCAATAATCAATAATTGAAACAACTTTATAATCGTATTAATCATTAATTATTACGACTTCAGTGTGCACTGCCCTTAAAGTCTTTACAGCAGATAATAGCTGACGTCTTAAAAACATAACGTCATAAACAAGATAACGCGTGTTATTGCTCAGATGAAGTGAGAAGTCATTTTTCTCATTCGGTTTCGTTTTCTTTCGCAAGCTCCAAGTGAAATAGCAATACATAGCAAAATTACTATGCTACAACTGTACACAACTTCAAGACCTATAACAGCAGAGAAATATCTAGTCCCCCACTGTATAACATCTTTATTTCCAAAAAAATCTCGAAATTATGAGTGCATCGAATCAAAGGGTTTTGGCCACCTGGATAGGCTACCTGTCCCACTGTGGTGACAAAAAGAACCGATGGCAGATCATTTTTTTTCCGTCATTGTTGGGGCCCCCATGATTCACACGTGCCTCCGTACTCGAGCAGCAGGTAAAACGCTCGCGTGTTGCCGATTACGTAAAGGAACATCACGTAGGGGGAATCGAGATGACGGGAGAGGAGTATCCAACACAGAGAATGGCAGGGGGAGGGGCAACATAGCAATTAGAGGCACGGTCTCCGTGTAACGAAGCTCCAGACCGAAGAAACTGGTTCTACCGTTAACGGAGATCGGTCTACGGGCCGGATTCAGATCCAGCGGCCGTTTCCGCTATTGTTACGCGGTCTGACCGGACAGGAACTCGGTCAGGCCGATCGAGACCACCCTTCCTGTTTGGTTGGCCTCGCGATCACCTGAAAACTGTAACTTTATCGATCCATGATGGGACCTTCTTGGGACTTGGAGTCCTGGACAGGGTAGGAATTTAGTCCTCTGACTACTTTATAGTAGCAGAAGTATTATCCCCTAAATAATATTTATTTCAACGTTTAACCATTTATTTTGCAATTGTCCCAAAGAAATGCAATGTTATAATAGCAGGAACCAATTGAAAAATTTTGAAAAAAATGAAGAATATAGTGTTATTTGTCCTATTTATGGACATACTTTCAATAATATGGATATTCTGAAATTGGCCATATGAAAATTAGTTGAAGTTAGGTCTACGACGAATCACACGAATAATTCGAATACATAGTACGAAGGTATTCAAATACTTCGAATAGTACGAAGGTATTTGAATGCATCGAATAATTCGAATACTTTGAATATTCGATTATCAAATTCGAATTCTACTGATATTCAAATATTCGTAACAGCCCTACCCCGTATGAGCTGGGGCGTTCATAAATGCTACTATAAACAGCAGTACTTTAACATGAGTCTACTTACTGTACGTACACAAAATCTGAAAACTACTCGAGTGATTACGAGCCATGAAACGTTGTACTATTACGAGCAACCCAGGGCAAGTCTTACTTCGCTCTCTTCTTTCCCCGTCCGTTCCAAGAAGAAGCTTCCGTGAAATCGCGAGAGCGTTTCTAATTCCGCTCGCGGGTGAAATTTTAATTCGACGGGCTGTTCGTTGGAGAACACGGAATAGGAATTACCATCAAAGTGTCTCACGCAGCTGCATGCCTCGGTCACCGATACTCGCGATAAAGCCACTGTGGTGAAAGGGATCTCGAAAATGTGTTTCATTAACGAACCCCCTGATGATTTCCGTTCTTTTTCGGTCTTATCGGTTCCCGTATCGATTATACGCCAGGTTAATCCGAGTAACCGTACACTTTCATAATCCTCGCTTGCTGGGTCGATTAGGAGGGACCTTTCGAAGTGTCCAAGAACGTTCGGTCAAATATAGTGTTTGTCGAGGGTTTCCCTAATTTTCTAACCACGTTATGGGAATGCTGTGGTTGTTCGTGTGGGGCTTGCCTGCAAATAAGCGAAAAAAAAAAAAGAATGGTGCAGCTGATAATAATTGACAATAATGGAATCCCGCGGGAAGAGGGAGCCATCGTGCACACAGCGGCGAACAAACAATCGCAATTTGTTTGGAGATGGTTTCCTCTGGCCTTGGTATTCCGATACTCGGCTATTTCGGATAGATCGAATACGAGTCGGCAAAACTGAAATCACCGTGGATCAAGGCCCCTGAGTCGTGATCAGTTTATATCGTGCCCTGAATCCCCAATGGAACCGACTATCGATCTCTGACTCGATATTCCAGAAGATTCTTATACACTCTTGAATTTTTTTTTTGTAATAGAAGTATCTTTTAGAGTTGGTTAATTCACAGATTTTTCGATCGAAAAGGCTTCTTAGCCTGGAATAGCGACAAATAATAAATTACGTCAATAAGGTTGATTCTTTTAACCCTCGATCCATCCCTTGTGTCAATTCGACACATTTTTCTCCGAAGAATTGACCTTATTCTTTACTTTTTCAAAAGTAAAATGGTAACCCTGCCAAAAATCAAGTTTCTCTTGGGGAATTTTCTAGTGCATATTTTTTTCACGAGAATGTTCGTTGCATCTTCTGAGAATTATGCTTGAACAAAGGAAAAACTAAACGTATACACGTATATGACAGTATTCGTCAAGAGGTTAATAAATTTTTAGAGGAACGTAGTTTACAGATCGTTCGTCAGGCAGTAATGACACGGCGGTTTACCACACATATAAATCATTTCGGTGGGAGAACATCGACAACAGGACGAGATTTACGGATCGTAAGTCAGTTGGTTACCATTATTTCGATCCGTTTGCTTGACGCGACCGCGGGAAATAAAATGGCGGTCAGGTGATGATAAAAATGTTCGCGTTCTCCATTGCATTTATTCATGAGTGACATCAATGACGAGCCGCGGTATCGGTCGAGCCTCTTTACGCGATGATGAACGCAAGGATAATTTTTTTGTACGAGAAAACACGTTTTACTCTTGTCAGGAGATCTCCAAGATCCAACGAAATGGTAACTGAATCATGAGTTCGATGGTATTCGTGTGAGAAATTTGTAAAACACTAGTGAAACGTCAGAATTAATAATAATTAAGAAAGTTTCTATTGTAATTTTAATTAAGTCATTGGACTAGGGGGCTCCACTAAACC